GTAAACGAATAACGAGAAGAACGAACGAACTAACTAACTATATTATTAGTAGTAGAGTATATATATATATATATATTTTGTGTGTGTGTATTATATATATATATATATATATATATATATATATATATATATATATATATATAAAAATCCATCCTGGAGAGTAACCTTATAAATATCAATATCAAAAACTCTTCATATACTATTTAATGTTCATTTAATTAATAAAAGGAACAAAAATATAATTCCAGAAGCATTTAATACTTTTTAACAATTTTGACCCAGAATTCTTACGTATGAGTGGAGAATTGTATATCAGAGAATTCAAAAGTGGCAAAACTGTGAATAGATTGATGTGGGAAAGACTAGAAAGAATTTAAATGTCATTGCCAATCAGAATATTTATGTTGAAGAAAAGCTAAGAATTTAATGAGTTTAGGAAACTGTTATAAATGAGAAATACGTTCCATATTCTATGCCACACATTTTGTGGGAAAGGTGCAGAAATTGCAAACAAGCACGCAATCATAACATTAAAACATGTTCACTGTGGAGTAGAGTATGACATTTTTGAAAGAACAATATAAAGCATAAAATTATTAATCCTAGCAAACTCTGTTCATTTCTTAAGCAAATAGAAAAATTGCTTCTTTAAGTGGTGTGAGCGAGGGTGAGTCATGATCCCTGAAACAAAGACGCTCAAACATGAGATCTTACACGTATCCATCAACACCTTCAGTGGAGAAATGCAAACCCCTTACAGAAAAAGCATATAGTAAGCTTTGACACACCTCACTTAGGAACAGTGCTTACAACTTAATATTTTGTCTTTTCAGAAAGAGTAATAATTTTATGGTTACATTTTATGCCTCATTTTATGTGTCAATAAAAGATGTTTAATTTTCAGATTATGTCCTATAATGCCATATTATTTAAAATAGAAAAAAAGAATAAAACTGAATATCCAATAGTCAATTGATTAAAAATTGACATATCAATAAGGTAAAATAGTATACACTAATTAAAAGTTACATTTGAAGATTTGGGGAAATGTTCATGGTAACTGGTTAAGTGAAAAAACACTATAAAACAATGTACCACGTGATTCACATTGTAAAAAAAAATCAAGGATGGATATGCACCATTATATCAGTGATTCTGGGTAGCAGAAAAATAGTTTTATGCTGAGTAAAATTATATGCACATGTATTTGTACACATCGAACAAAAAGCTAGGAAGGAAACACCGAATTATTAAGCAGATTATCATTTGTGTATTAGGATTATTGATGATTTTTTTTTAACTTTTTGAACGTAGTCTCCAGAAACTACCAACAAAATGTTTGATCTTGTGCATACTTAATTTTGTCTTCCCATCCACTTTCTAGTTCAGCTTTGTCATTAATAGATGACCTCATTCTCCTCTTAAAATGACCCCATTTTTCACATATGTATACATACTGCCTATTTGTTTTCCATGTGGTTATCTGAGTGTATGGTTTTGAGTATATATTTTGCATCTAGAGAATGGGTATCCTGTGATTTTAATATCTGTAGGCGATTTTTTTTTTTTTTGGAGAAAAGTAAGTGTCTTCATAGTTCTCTACTCTGTAGCCACAAAATCCTTTGTGGCATAAATTACCAGCTAACAGATTTTACAGGTGAGGAGAGCTGTAGCAAATGGTCGAAAGTCTGAGTAATGAGACCAAACTGATCTCTGACTCCAAATAGAAAGCTCTATTCACTGTGATGTTTGTGAACTCCGATATTCACCTTGTCCTGATGTCAGCAGTTGTATCAGGCACAGACTAAGTGATTCCAATGATTTATGCCCTATATAATCTTCCCCGCCTTGAGTGTGGGCAGAACTGAGACTTGCTTTCAGCCAACAGATTATGGCAAAGGTATAGGATGTCACTCCCGTGACTGTTACATGAGACTCCATCTGAGCAGACTTGAGAGAAATTTTCCTTGCTGTCCTGATGAAGTAAGCACTCATGCTGAGGAGGTCCATGTGGCATGGAATTGCAGCTGGCTTCTAGAACTTGAGGGAACCCAGAGCTAAGAGAGTGGGACTTGGATGGCAAGACCATGGAGACGAGAAGTGAAAAGAAATAAGCCCAACAGACTGAGCTCTGATTCTCCAGCGTGACATCCCTGCAGAAGTCTTCTGAGCGGCATCCAGTAGCTGCCAGTCCTCCAGGATGAAGTCCACAGATACATCCCTGAGGGTCAACATTTCCTGCAACAGTGCACTCCTGTTTAGCCCAGTGATCGACCCAGGGAACAAGACAGTATGTCACATCAAATGCCCACTCTGCGCACCCTACGTCCTTCACATGGAGAAAGATTTCAATCCTCCCCACCACCCAGGAAAACCCTGACAGCTGAGGACAGGACAGTAAGGCTCATGGAGTGTAAGGTCACCTGCCAGGGTCACACAGCTAGGAATTAGGGCTTAAAATCCACGCAGGCTGGTTTCCGTGCACACAGTTTTGGACACTGCATTGCCTTTCTCTGTGTAGTTGTTCTGATGCTGTTCACCACCCACAGTTCAACACAGTGTAGTATATAAGGTGCTTATGTAACTAAAATTATTTTAAACTCTAAGGAGAAAGAGATGGAGTGTTAGAAGTATCTTAGCCTGGAAATTCCTTCTTCCAACACGTTTATTGACTAGAGACCAAACTGGTAAGTTCTGAGGATAGAAAGGTTAATAAATACAAACACCTCCTTAATGGAAGGAGCTGCAGGCTGGTAGAGGGAGAAAAACAACACTGACAAACTCATACATGAAACGGGAAGAGGGAGAGCTGCCTTCCAGGGGCAATGACGGAGGTAGGGCAGGGAACCCAGAAGAGGAAGAAGCCAGTTCGCTGCAGTTCTAGAACAAACAGTTCTAAACACAGCTACTCAATCATGACCAACAGGGCTAATCCTCACCAATCAATCATGAGGTGAAGAACAGGACAGTAACTAGCCTGGTCAGCAGATTGAGATTTAAAAAAAAAAAAAAGGAAAGGTCTGCATTTGGTCTTGTCACCACCAAACAAGAATTTACTTCTCTAAGTGCCCAAATTCCTATCAGAGAGCAATAACCCACCTATTTACACTCTGGATCCCCTCCCGCCCCACCCACACTTGGTGGCCTTCAATTCAGGGAGATGTTTTGCACCCACGAGGCATATGTCACACCAGTTTACTCAGCTTTGCAGAGACAGGAAACAGTGTGACAAAGGGCAGTAACAGGCATGTGTCGCCAGCAGGAGGAGTTCTCGGTGCAGTCCAGGAGCTATTAGCTCCTCCTGCCCGACCCTCTCTCCTTGTGATAGTTGAGGTGCCCAGGAACAAGACCACACTGCTGAGTGCAGGTGGGATCTGGCAGCTGGAAGCCTCTCCACATACCAGTATCTCTTGTAACAGGCCCCCGGGCATGTCTTACGGGGTCCTGGCAAAGGACGTGCCCAGTTGTAAGAGTTACATTGGACTCAGAAAAAAAATCTGTGGCTTCCCACCAGCTATTTAGTTATGCACAGTCCTCCCAGTCCAGATGCAGTTGGTTTAATCAGGAGTCATTGTTATCATAAGTAACAACACCTGATAATACAGCTGCCATTATTGGGTTTCCAATGATGCAAACCTAAAACTAGGTTAACTCAAGGTCAGATTTCCCAAATGAGAAGAGTTTTATTAATACTACACTCAGTGTTATACTTCAGTAATGACAATGAAGATAGTTAAAAAAAAAACACTAACAGATCCTACACATACAGGGTCAGAATTTAGTTCATAGTAAAAGTATCTCAAATCATTGTAGAAAAGAAGTCATTAGCAAAATCTGGCTAGGTATTTATATGGGGAAAAAACATACCATAAAACTGGATTAGGGCTATCTCACTCCGAACTCCAAAATAAATTTCCAGTGGATTAGAGATTTAAATGTGTGCAAGAGAGTTATAAAATTAGTAGTTATAAGTTTTTATAATTTTAGAGCAGCAAAAGTCTTTCTAAGCCATCCCCAAATTTGGAAGACACATAGCTAAAGACTGATAAACTTGACTACCCAGACATTAGAAATTTCTAAACAGCAGAAAGAAAATAATTTTTGAAATTCTCAACATCAATATCAAAGTGGTAAAAAAAAAAACGTAAAATACATTACCATGATCTAATTTCCTTCACACACTAAAATTCTAAGAAGTCTTTAAGAAAAAGACCACAACCTAATATAGTATAACCGGAGGAATGGGAAATAAAATTATAATAGTATACTATATCACCTTTCAGATTCTTTTTCTTATTGAGATATAATTGACATATAACATGGTGTAAGTTTAAGGTGGACAACATGTTGATTTGATACATTTATATTTTGCAATATGATTATGCCTGCAGCCTTAGCGAACAGTGTCTCTATCATGTCACACAGTCATCATTTCTTTTGTGTGGTGAGAATAATGAAGATCTAGTCTCTTAGCAACTTTAAAGTTTATAACACAGTACTGTTGATTACAATCATGATGCTGGGCATTAGATCTCCAGTACTTAGTGATACCCTTCAGCTTCTTAAATGTTAAAAAGGTTGTTAATACCTAGTGCAGGCAAATGTGTAGAAAAACACCAAAGAAGTTATAAACTGTTGACTGCCTTCTGGGGAGAGGAAAGAGCAACTGAGTAATATACATCAAAATATACACGGCAAGTAACCTTTAACACAGCAGTGCCCTTTGTAGGATTTTACCCTAGATTTTTCAATGTCAGCTAAGAAAAGACAACTCAATAGAATGGACAAAAGATTCATAGCAACAGAAATAGAAGTGATATCACTTATACATGGAATCTAAAAAAAATGACATAAATCCATTTATTTACAAATCAGAAATAGACTCACAGACATAGAAAACAAACTCTGGTTACCAAAGGAGAAAGGGGTAAGGGGGATAAATTAGGAG